TTGAAGAGGAAAGGTGACAGCGGGCATCCTTGTCTCACACCGCTGGTGATACTGAAGGGTGGCGAGAGTTTGCCATAAACCCTCACCCTGCCCGAACTATGTGCGTACAGCGCTTTGATAATGTTTACATATTTATCAGGCACACCTTTCCTCAACAGACAGTCCCAAAGGGCACATCGATCGACTGAGTCGAAGGCACCTTTTATGTCAAGAAACACGACAACGGTGGGTCGCCAATAAACATGGCGGTGCTCCAACACTTGACGCAATGTGAAGATGTGGTCGATGCAGCCCCGACCTCGACGAAATCCGGCTTGTTCTTCACGAATTTGGCTTTCACGAGTGCCAGTCAGCCTGTGGAGAATGAGAGAGGCAAGCAATTTAGAGGCAATCGAAATCAGACTGATCCCTCTATGATTACCACATACCAAACGGGAGCCTCCCTTGAAAATTGGGACAATGACGGAGCGGTTCCAGTCTGTCGGGACTGTCTCCTGCTCCCAAAGTTTTACTAGCAACTCGTGTAGATCACCTATTAGAGCAGGTCCACCGAACTTGAAGAGGGCTGGAGGAATAGTATCTGCCCCTGCGGCCTTATGCAATTTCAACAGCCTGATCTCACGTTCGACCTCTGCGCGTGAGGGCGGATCCAGGGAGACGGCCCAAGGAGAAGGGCGTTCAATGCCCGAAGAAAGTGATAACTCAGGTTGGTTAAATTGCATAGCAAAGTGTTCAGCCCAACGCTCCAAGCGTTTTGACAGGCTGTGGATCATCTGCCCACTCTCGTCGCGTATGGTCTCGCTAACACCAGGTCTCCTGCTGCCTGTTGCCCGTATCAGACGGTATAACTTACGATGATTACCAATGGCAGCGGCTGTTTCCATCTCAGATGCACGATGAGACCACCAGGTTTCGCGGTCCTTCTTTAGGCTAGCACGTAGTTTCGCCCTGGGATTTTTGCGAGATTCATTGTATTCGCTTCCAGCCGGAATACGTCGGCGAGCATCCATAAGTTCCAGAGACTGTGTAGAGACCCAATGTCCGGTTTGGCAATTTGTTTTGCCACATGAAGACATGCCTGCTAATAGCAACGCTTGACGAGTGTGCGACCAGTGATCTTCAACGGTGTTTAGTGGGCGCTTACTCAGTCCAGATGTCAGCGCATCTTGGTACACATTCAGAACATCTGGCTTCGCCAGCTGGCTAGTGTCAATCCGTTCACATCGACGTTGCGGACGTCCACCGAAGCGCATCAGGAGGTCGGCACAGACAAGTGCGTGGTCAGAGTCCACGCTCGTGCTCCAAATCGAGCGACAGTTTTGGACACAGCCTCTCCAGCGGTAACTGATCGCGATATGATCGATTTGCGTCCATGACTGGCCCGAGGCTGGTGGCCGCCAAGTCACACTTCTGCGGGTGCTGTGTCGAAAATTAGTGCTCGCGAGAAACAGGCGAGCATCTTCACACAGCTGGAGCAATCGCTCACCATTATCATTACGGGAGCCTACACCATGTTGGCCGCCCAGATGAAGCTCATCAGAGGACAATTTTCCGACTTGGGCGTTTAGATCGCCAGCCAGCACCACAGTATCCGTGCTTCTTCTGTAACGAAGGAGCTCGTGAAGTTGCTGGTAGAAATCATCTTTTACCGAATCAGTGCTACAGTTTGTAGGGGCGTAGGCCGCAATGACAAACAGGCACCGTTTGTCCCCGCGCGACTTCGAAGCACGGAACGAACCAGCTAATCTAACGGCGCACATCCTACTGTTTACTGGGATCCAATCAAGTAGGGCAGCTTCAGCCCGGGGACTCAAAACAATGCCGACGCCGGCTTGACCGGCATTTGAAGCTGCATCATCGCCAGATAGGCGCAATGAGAATGTGCCGCCAGTGTCGCATGTGGGGGATCTCAGGGTAAGCACGGAGCTCGAATCTTGCAGGCGGGTTTCTGATAAACAGCAAATATCGATCGATAGGGTCTCTAGTGTGCGGGCAAGTGCTGCCTGTTGGCCAATCTGCAGCAAAGTGCGCACGTTGAGGCATGCCAATCTTAGCGAGACACGAGGACTCCAAAGGGAAACGGATGAACTGACGTTGTCCGCTTGGTTGAACATGGACTTATCGACTGGATTGGAGTGAGGCCCTGCGATTGTGTGTGATTTGAAATTAGAAGACAAGCGACTATTGAAGTAAGCTGGGGGAGGGCCAAGAATTGGGGGATTGAAAATGGGGGGGATATAAGTAAAGTTGGAGCGGGACAATAAGGATGCAGAAGCACAAGAAGGGGTATAAGAAGACGGGAAGGCCTGAGCAGTAGCATCCAAACCCCTATCCACCCTGCTCGATGCAGCAGATAGGGCGCCGTTTATTATCCTCTGCGACGGCCAGAGCATCAAGAAATTGTTGTAGGAAAGGTTCATTGTATTGCTTTCGGTTTCCTCCATCTGGTTGTTATTTCATATTCCTTTCCGATCACTCAGGCACATCTCCTGTTTCCTTCCATTTTCTCCACATTCTATTATCATCCAATGCCACCATCTTGCCGTTTTTATTTATTGTTATTCTTGCGATGTGAATCGTGGGAACTGCATCCTCTGCATTTCGGTGCTCGGCTCATAGTTATTCAACTGAACTGATTACGTCTGCCAATGCCTTAGCATCACGTTCAATGCGCTGGTTGAAATCACCCAGTCGTAATAGATCGTCTCACTTCGGCCTGGACCCGTGGTCGCACGGATTGTGCACCTGATGTGTAATACGAGTTCTCCGGTTCGAATCCGCGAAGGTGCGAGTGGCGTCGCGGAACACTTGTCCCACGCGCGACTGCCGGTGTCCGCGTGGCGGCGAAAGGTCGTTGCAACCCACCGCCTTATTGCTGACACTTTGGTTCTTTCTTTTTTTACCGACCCTACCGTAGAGGACAACTGCAAGTAATACTGACCACTTTTGCCATCAGCATAACAAATAGTTGGACCATCCGTGTTAAATAAAGGTTGCAGACTTACTCCGCCTGATGCGTAGACGTAATGTGATCGACCGTGGATTTATGCTGACAGGTCCTCCCATCAAATCTCTTAGTGCAAATCAGACACCGTGTTCACATGGGGCTGTGGTGGCGTTTCCGACTTAGTAGAAGACGTAACCAGCACCATTCTCGTTCAGGTTGTCTTGGTCAGTCAACCGAGTCTTGCTGAGTGCGACACTGTCAATGGCGTAGCGGCCGAGTTCCATAGCGACTAGTGCAATGCGTAGTGTTCTGGTGTAGGAGTGCGCGCACATTTCCGCATTCGATCTTGAATGATTTACTCGGAGACACGATTGCGCTGGGAAGTCTCTGGGGTGAGGATTAGGTAAGTAGGGTGAGTTAGGTGCAATGGTGACACAGTGAGAGTGTATGGAACGGCGGGTAAGAAGAAAGGTTTGAGGTGCCAGCGGTAGTATGTTTTCGCATATTAACTCCGCTGTATTCAGCAAATATCGGGACCCTCTCATTCTGATGCAGGAATGGATTATTTGTTTTCGCGTTGTTCACGCTTTGTTTTGGGGTTGATATGCTGTCATGCCGCCCATGCGTGGAGTCCCTCAAGCTAACACCTACACTCGGTCTTATTAAGCCGGATAAATTTCCTTCCACTTTATCTGCTTTGTTCTGACTACATGAATAATCTTCTATCAACTGGCCACGTTGCTTACGCTGATTGTGGTTATCTTCGTTAGCTTTATTGTGTTTGTAGTATTTGTGGGTGACTTGTGGACATTTTGTACTTATGGTGGATTCGTTGATAATTACCTTAATTCATATGCTAATTTACTGAAGAGTTATGTCGCTGTAGCCGTATTCTTATTCTGTAACAGGTATATTTTATTTGATAATGTCATTTCAAGTGATTGCCTGTTGCTTGATTTTCCCGGTGTACCTGCGCTTGGTGTGCATGTTGACAAGGTGCCTACCTGTATATTACCTACTACCTCGTCCATACTGGCTTTAGGAGACAGTTGGTTGTTGCTGTAGGGGACGGGGTGCACGGTCCTTGTGGCTGTGTTAGGCTCGAAAAGTGGTTCCATGCACTCATTGTGGAGCGGACTACGGTCCAGCCACCGCCTTGTGTGCGCTTTATTCCCAAATCGAGCGTGCATGTGTTTGCCTGTGAAGGAGTGTTGGCCGTCTCCGTTGATGAAACGTGGCTCCCATCCACATGCCTCCTGGTCTTGTGGCTTCGGGTTTACATTGGATATGGGGGGTGTGGATGGAGCTGTGGGTGGTGCAGCGCAAGCCACCCATGGTCCCTCTTTAGGCGCAGGCGTCCTGTGGCTGGCCACAGTGACAGGCAAATACGAAACCCGATATATATATATATATATATATATATATATATATATATATGGTTTGGAGAATTGTTAGGGCCATCGGAGTACTGGTGTGTAAGATGCTGAATGTATCGATTGTAAGGTGGAAAGCATCGACAGGTAGCCGATGGGATGAAACGTCTGCCTTGTCACCCAAGTGTCATCCGTTCGAATCTGCGTATGCGTGGTCGGCCTCGCAGTATACCAAGCCAGCGAGCGACTGGTGGTGGTCCCGTGGCAACGAAGCGTCCCTGCGACACGCCGGCGTACTACATGTGCCTTTTTCTTTAAAGTGAAAAGTGAAGACTTTTTTCACCAGTTTCTCTTTTTATTACGTTGTCTTGTATGCATTGGGATACTTACACAAATGCAGCGGGATGTGTACTTCGTTATTTCAAACGGCTTGTTCGGGGCGTTTGTTCAATAGTGCCTTATCACTTGCATTGTTCAACAACGCTGCATCTTTCTCACTGAATCCATCGCAATGACTTTGTAGCACTGTACCTTCATTTTTGACTACCCCTTAAGTCTCCTATACAATCGAAGCATCTATCACCAGCTGTCCGCATGGGTAAACCCTTATTTCTCTTGGTATCCTCCATATTCTCATGCTTCCTCTGTTCAATTTTTCCCTATTCTGGCTCTCTTGTTAGAGTTTGATTGAACGACCTCCAATACGTGGAAAAGAATTGCACCTGTTCGCTCCTAGTCAGCTAGATAATGCTTTCCGACTCCATCCAGGACCGTTACCTCAAGAGTACTCATCGCTTTTCACTGCAGTTCCCACGAGAAATTCTCGTCGATCCAACTTACAGGGGCATTCTGATGTACCCACTGGTGCGACATCCTGTTCACGAGTACCGGCCACGGCTGCTCCCGGTCTAAACACATTTGCTCGCCGCCGACGCCGTTTTGAAGTCCATCGTGGTTTATGCGCAGCAAATAGCTCCATCGGTTCTTTCGCTCCTGCTTCGTCTATGCCTGTCCCCTTATCCGACTCACCATCAACTGGAGCCACGCCTCTCTCCACTCCTGTTTCAGCCGGCTCAGCTCCTACGCAGCCCAGCGTCCGAGCCTCTAGTGTGCCATTCGCTCTCCCTTCATCGGACGCTCCTGGTGTAAACGCACCTTCTGGCAAGCCCATTGAACACCCCCCTGGCCTAATCCTCGTTTCCAGCCATTTGCCCCCTTCCACTAGGCCTACAGACCAACAGCACTTACCACCTCCCCCACCTCCTTTGCTCGCTCCAGCACATTCGTCATCTCAACCTACCTCGCAACGTTTGAGCCACACTTCAGCCCATGATTTGTCTTCTTCCTCATGTGCTGCGATTATTCCCGGGCCACCCGTTCTGCAGTCGATTCACGCATCTAACTCATTAACCACAGGACCTGGTTCTTCTGCTCATACTCTGAATCATCCTCCTTCGTACGGGATTCAGCCTCCCACGCAAACCATACACACTTCTGATTTGAACAAGTCTCCCTCCTCTGGGCGCGGTGGCTCGGGCTCCTCTCCACCTTCACCTGAACTCCACAGAACGCGACGCCTCGATGGTTTGGATGAGGAACGCCGTAGGAAAAAACGAAAAGAGAAGAAACGGCGTAAGGACCGTGATTAGTACTACTGATTCCCGTCCCCACTGCCATGTTTAAATCCCCTTCATGCTTCCATTCTTTCGTTTGGTCACCATTTCAGGAGTCTCCACCAATCTATGCGCCTCTCTAACTATGAAGAACGTGCTACTTCCGTATTTTTCTCTAGTTGTGCTTCACGTGTTCCTCTTCATGAATAAGTGCCTGGGTCTAGCTAGCAAAGATAGTGTTATCGGTTTTTGTTTTTGCCGTATTTGGGGGGGGGGGGGTAACGGCGTCCAGTTGCGATAATATCAACGGATCTTCTATAATCCTAGGAAACGAGATACGGTGTTGCCAGATGCAGAGGCTTTAACCACCACAAACACAAACCGAACGACCGAAGTACGGAGAGGTTTGGAAATTATATGCTACAGTTGTCGACTGGTGCGAGGGTCCATATGCAACGGGATTACTGCTGCTACGATTTAGTTATGTCAGATGTGGTGTCCAGCCATGTGACCGATTCTCGGTGCGCACCCAAAGCGACGATCTACACAGTTGTGACCAGGCTTTTCGGTCACGTTCCCAATGCCTTGTGTTGTCACCTCATCCACTGACCGTTCGGTGGTTTCATGCAGCTTTGCACAGCAACGCTACATAATGCCCGCCGGAGTAACCTGTTAGAATCGATGTGAACTGCGACATATCCAACGTAGACTTTGCAACACCAGGGAGTTTGTTAAGCTCAGCTCAGTTGTTCAACCATGGTTCGTGTGTTGACACTCGGTGGGCCCTTTTCCTTCACCGCATGCCCCAATTTATCGTGGTCTCAATCACGTAGTGCTGTTTTGGGGAACTTCACAACGTAACCATTGAACTGCTACCTGGTGGCAAATCGGTAGCTCTCAGTCAAGTGGACGATATTATCTTGATCTTTGAAAATCGGAGCGGGCCAGTCAACTCTAGCTGCACTCTCGAGTGGTTACATCATGACAGCACACGCTTCTCATTTTCTACGTGCGAACTGTTGTTGCAGGACTGTCAGCAACTTGATAATTCCTAGGTCTTAATGACGACGAACAGATGTTCATTTCAACTGTCTATGCAGCTCCTTCAGTAGCGGGGTTAAGTGGTTATTAAAGTTTGTCCACATATTTCGAAAAACGGAATTGCATTATTGAATCTATTATAACTGTGTCGCCAGAACAAAATTTTCCTAGGCTTGAAAGGCCTTATATACAAAACCGCAGGGAGGACTGTCTTTCTCTTATTTCCATCAGCTCTACTCACTACTGTCGTTTCCGCTGTACTGGTGCCTAATGTAGTCAGGACCGGGGAGTACTACGACCGAGCGTTTGCCGGCGTCACTTACGTTCAGATTGATCCTCTCACTACTTTGGGAACCTGTTTGGTCACCACTACTATTATTCATTCTTGAGCGCATGGTTTGTTTCTTGTTTCCATACCTTTGAATTCCCGCATTCCGGGTTGTCTACAATTTTCTCTTCATAGGCAACCATCACTGCAACTGTTAGCCTCCAGTTAGCCTGACCAGTTGTCCGACTATTGAGTCTCATAAAGACAGCTTTCCCATTTTCCCTTTGTTTGTGGGGTTTCGAGCTTTTACTTGAATGGTACTACCACTGCACAGATCGGAAAGTTTGCATTTCTTTTCATGTCTCGCTCGTCCGCAGAGTCGGTGAGACAAAAGGTTGGTGGTTGAAGGTCTGTGATGAAGCGCCAGGGTACAGACATGGTGACACCATGAATTAGGGCCGTTGCTACTGCGTATGAATGATCGGATGTCGGTCGTCTTCGGTCACCGATCTTGATACTTTTTGCTCGTGTCTATTGCAACCGCAAGCTGGGTACCGCTGATATACTGCTACATGCTCTATTACAGCGGTTCTCAACCTGGGGGTATTTACCCCCACATAGGTAAAATGACATTTTACGGGGAGTACATATAAGTACGAGGATTGGATCATCAGTCTGTCCCTAAACAACATTAATACCAAAAACATCTGTATCAAAACTATTACCCAACAACATTATCACTGTTGATTAGCCGTCAGTTCTTATACATTAATGAGTGCTCGGTGAACAGGACAATCTTCAGTAGTACACTTTATTGTTGTAACGCTGCACTCGCCTCTGCTCTCTGTACTGCCAACCCACCTGGAGCAGAAACAGAACACCGAAGTATGATATGTCCCAAAAATCCGGTCCCTCTACTCTTATTACGGGACAAAGGGTCACTCCTTCGGGTGTGAGGTGGAGCGCACTAAATTGCCAACTGTCCAATAGTAGATCTTGGTCTATCTTAAAATGTCCCACCCGGGCACATGGGTATGGAACGACCGGTATGAATGCAGCTGGCTACATGTGTACTTGCCAGTGTCGCCCATCGTGAAAACGCTGGATCATGCGCGGATGGTTGAGTTGGAGTCAACCTACGGCACGCCACAAGGCGAGTTCACCGATCGATACATACCGTTTGTCAGGCCGGTTGGAACGGAGACAGGTGTGCAAAATCGAAACAGCAGTGCCTCATTACCCGGCTACTGCGGTGGAATCGTGGTTGCGTTTGCGCAGGCGTAACTGGCCTGAACAAGGAGTGTGCAATAGGTGCTAGTGTTATCCCAGCCAATAACAAAAGGGGACAAAATATAAATTTTTACATTCTCGTACCTCGTCATATCGAAACTCTATACCGCCTTTTCTATCACATTTACCAATCGACTAACAGGAGTGAAACTCCGCTTTCGCGACCGCACGCTCGAATGAAGATGTTAATTTTCGTTTACCGCTTTAAATTATTATTGCTCAGTGATGCTTTGTCGTCTAATAATCCGTAGTGTTGGTGTAAAAGTGCTGAAAATGCACCCATACGGGTGCATAAAGCTTACTATGATTTGACTTGATAATGCTGAAATATTTTGTTTCTCAATAGTACAGTAGCGTGGAAAATGGCAGATACGGTGTATAAAGAAGGGTCACAGCTCAGGGTCGGGAGTTTCAAAGAAATATTATGATACTGTAGGACACTTCTGTCGAGACAAAAATAGGATTCCAATGCTGAAAATACCTTCTGGATTATCTCCACTGCTGGCATAAATGAAAGCCATCTGGTTTCCCGTATCCTAGAATGTGTTACTATTCCACCATTGTAGAGTCAGAATTCCTTTAGTTCTTCAACACGAACAGTGTAAATGTAAAAGTAGGAATATATTTTCACCACAACTGTTTCAACATCAATAGGACGACAGTCAGCTGGCGTTTGCAATGTGTTGTGGACAATGTGAGCCACGCAACCGATTCCCACAAGTGAAAGATTTCAATTTCGCAAATACATTGTTTGGTCCTCTTCTCTGAACGCCACCGAAATGTTTTGGTGTTGTTAGCATAAAATCCCACAATTTTCTGGTCATACTATTTTGTTCAAATACATTTGCAAATGGCGCCCGACGTGACATCAGGTCTAATAACTTGACAATACCCTATGGGGAGCACAAAATATCTCACAAGGAGTGGGAAAACCTTTACTTCCTTGTGACTTGAGGTGTCTGTGAAAATTGACACGCATTTTACTTTCTTCAGTTTTTCTTGAAGTTTATCTCTGGCCAATGGGAACAGGATATTAGTTATTATTATTATTATTATTATTATTATTATTATTATTGCCTCACATTTTGTGCGGGCACAAGCAAACTTCGGCTCAAACAATTTCTCTACCAACTTTCTGATGCAATTCATGGAGTGGAAAGCGTGCTTATGAAATACAGCGTGATAAGGGAAGGCACCTTCTGCGGCTGCTAACTTGGCTTCTGTGTTTCCAAATGTTGCTGATCGGAAATAATTATTTCAAGGGTAGAAGATGCTGCCGCAAACACTGCTACCTTGTAACGATCCGACATCAAGTGCTTTATGATATCTGATGTGAGCCATAGAAAATTCATATTTGTATTTGTCACACGGAACATTCGATTCGTTGTCGCGTGTTGTCTTCCTAATGAATGGAAAGTCGCTCTCCAATGGGGTAGTCATCTGACATGTTCGTTTAAACATGGTTTTCCTACCAAACTGGACAAAATGCAGGCGTTCTCCACTAAAGTTCTGGTTTTTCCACCTACATTCTACATGCTCAAAGCGGGGCATTCTGAGTTTCACGACCTCCATGCAGCAGGTAATGCATGCAAGCCTTGTACCCTGCAGACCCAAACCGAACGTCGCGTGCGGTCAGCAACGATGAACTACACTGTCACGGTGGCGACAGACAACTGATCTACCGCTCGACTGAAGCAGAGGTTAAGTATCGAAAAGAGCTAGTGGCTACGTGCACAACTGAATGGACACTTTCAACAAGCGCTGAGAGCCTGCCCTTACGTGGCATAGCGATCGCGTACCGTGGCCAGATGAAAATGTGCGAGCCAGGTAACTAGGGCATGACGTGTTGCTAAATTTGGCTGCACAGTGTGAACGGATGCACACTACCGGTTCCCACACTACGACAAACTTCGGTTCGCGTCCGTGGGACACTACAATCGCATGTATGACCGGTCTCGGGAAACTCATTCATGTCAGCAATGACCTGTCCCTATGCCATCACAGTCTTTCGCCCCGCCGAGAAATAAACTATTTGTTTTTATAAACAGTTAGTTCCCTACAATAGTTTGAATAACACAAGGAAAGACGCGCGCATTTCGTATTGTCTCATCAGTGTCAATACAGTAAGTAGAATTATCCTATACCTTTTCAATGGTGTTACCAACTAAACAAATGCAGTGAAGTGAACGACGGCAATCGTCCTAAGACTGGGTATCCGTAGGCCAGCAACTTACTGTTTATGCACACACAAGTTAGGTCTTAGCTGGCTTGTAGTAACGACCTCGGCGAACCGCAAGAAGCATGAATTGGGATGACATGGTCTCCGAAATGCGGAGCCGGGGGTCAATCCGATAACGGGTCAGTAAAACATGTCTGCTTAGCGATGATGCTGGCGGTTTGCGTGCACATGGAACATTGGGCGAAGAATGGTTGACCTCACGTTGAACCCATTTGACTAGGTGTTCCTTCACTCTGGAATTCAAAACACTCCCATTTTTGCCTATCTACCTGACGCCGCAGGTATAATCAAATTGGTAAGTACAGTGTGATTTGCCGCTGATGGGTTCCACTTCCTTTACTGAAAGTAGCAACAATTTCCGGGCTGTTGTTCACCACAGCATCTGCGGAGATTAAGCGATTGGTTGCCCTCGTTGAAGCGGTGTTACCCTTAAATGGGAGCTTGTTGGGTGGCGCCTGAGATACCAGTCGGTAATCAATGACACGTAAAAGCCGTGTCAAATACGGGACAGTATAGAAGTCGGAGGCCACTAAACCCAACGTGTATTGTGCAGGCTACAAAAATAGGAAGCGAATCAAT